CCCCCCTCGCCCACCCTGCCATGCCCATCCCCCGCCCTGCCACGGCCCCACGCCCATCCCCTGCCTTGTCACACCCATCCCCCGCCCTGCCATGGCCACACGCCCACCCCCGCCCTGCCACCACCCCCTGCCATGGCCCCACCCCCACCCCTGCCCTGCCACGGCCCCATGCCCATCCCCCACCCTGCCACGCCCATCTCCCACCCTGCCAACCTTTGTTTCCTGTCTTTCAACCAGTTACTGATCCATGAGAGAACCTTCCCTCTTATCCCGTAGCACTTTACTTTGCGTAAGAGCCTTTGGTGAGGGATCTGGTCAAAGGCTTTCTGGAAATCTAAGTACACTCTATCCACTGGATCCCCCTCGTCCACATGTTTGTTGACCCCCTCAGAGAATTCTAGTAGATTGGTGAGGCATGATTTCCCTTTACAAAAGCCAGGTTGACTCTTCCGCAACAAGTTATGTTCATCTATGTGTCTGACAATTCAGTTCTTTATTATAGTTTCAACCAGTTTGCCCGGCACTGAAGTCAGACTTACTGGCCTGTAATTGCCAGGCTCACCTCTGGAGCCCTTTTTAAAAATGGGTGTCACATTAGCTATCCTCTGGTCATCTGGTACAGAAGCTGATTTAAATGATAGGTTACAGACTATAGTTAGGAATTGTACAATTTCACATTTGAGTTCCTTCAGAACTCTTGGGTGAATCCCACCTGGTCCTGGTGACTTACTGCTGTTTAATTTATCAATTTGTTCCAAAACCTCCTCTAATGACACCTCAATCTGGGACAGTTCCTCAGATCTGTCACCTAAAAAGGACGGCTCAGCTTTGGGAATCTCCTCAGCCGTGAAGACCGATGCAAAGATTTCATTTAGTTTCTCCACAATGGCCTTAACGTCCTTGAGTTCCCCCTTCAGCACCTCAATCGTGCAATGGCCCCACTGGTTGTTTAGCAGCTTCCTGCTTCTGATGTACTTAAAGAATTGCTGCTACTTTCAGCCGGTTGCTCTTGGAATTTTGTCCGGCCGCCCAGTTACAATTTTACACCTGAGTCCCCCGTGTTTGTTCTCCATTCTCCTCTCTGCACAGCCCCCCACCCCCGCCACGTCCACCCCGTCCATCCCCCACCCACCACAGCCCCCACCCCCGCCACGTCCACCCCGTCCATCCCCCACCCACCACAGCCCCCCACCCCCGCCACGTCCACCCCCACGGCCCCACCTCCCTCTCCACGGCCGCCGATGTCCCGTTTTTAGAGGGACAGTCCCGTTTTTTGGAACTTTTTCTTATATAGGCGCCTATTACCCCCCACCCCCGTCCTGTTTTTTCACAGTTGCTGTCTGGTCACCCTACTCCTGCAGGATGAGGCTGGGAGGAGAAGGCCCTTTCTCCCCACCCAGACACAGCTCAAAGGGCCTCACAAACCCCTCCCAGGAGGCAGGGCCAAAAGGAGAAACTGAGTCATAGACGGGGAGGGAAGGGGGGCAGCTCAAGGTCACACACATCACATAGCGGCCCAGGGATGGAACCCAGGAGTCCGGGCTCCCAGCCCCCCCCCTCTAGCCCCCACTGCCCTTCTGGGGCCAGAGGAGATCCCCCCGCCAGACGGTGCTGGGGGGGAACAAGTCTGGAGCGACAGCAGGGAAATGCCCCAGGCGGCAACACGGGCAACACAGGGGGCTCAAACACAACTGGGGAGGGGTAATCAACACAGAGAACCACCCCCAGCTCTGCGGTGCCCCTCACTCCCGACCCGCAGCCCCTGCCAGCCCAGCCCTGCCGGTGCCCCTCACTCCCGACCCGCAGCCCCTGCCAGCCCAGCTCTGCGGTGCCCCTCACTCCCGACCCGCAGCCCCAGGCTCCACACTCACCCCACGCTCCCCAGCACCCAGGGGTCTGGGCTCTCACTTGGTCTGTAGCTGTTTTGGGGTCAGTGACCCAGAGCCCCACAGGGACTGGTGGCCCAGGCAGCGTGCGGAGCCGGCCTGGCTGCTGCTGTGCTGGGCTCCCTGCCCGGCCGATCCCACCGGTGGACACGCCCCTGGGATGCGGCTGCTGATTCACCGGGTCCAC